TCTTCCCTTGCACTGGGCAGCAGAGCTGGCAGGTGCAGAGATGACAGCTTTCTGAGCTAAGCCTCCTAACTCCATGCAGCAGGAGTCCAGGACACCGCGTGTGCTAAGGCTCCACTCCTGCTGACAAAGCCAAGCTCCAGCACTGTGAAGCTGAATTAACTATCCCGGACTCAGAGAGTTTGTGCCAGGCATACGTGAAAGTTACACAGCACATCCAAATGTCCCATTTAGAAGGCTACCCATGAGAATACCAGCATGGAAAAGACTGCAGCTGTATGGGCTGCAATGAAATTCACAGTGTCACTTCCTGTGTAACATCACTGCAGCAATACTGGGGGGGGAGGGTTTGTTCCAGGAGAAACACCTTGGAAACTGTTAGGGTTTCTTCTATTTCTCACTTATGAAAGAAGATGATATTGAATTATTTTTAAAGTTAACACTTACTAATATCCCAATTAACAACACTGAAATCCCTCATGGTACTGTTCTGTGTAATGTTTCCTAAATAATACTGGAGCATGCCAGAAAGAACTAAGATAATATTGGTCATGTCCATGATACGCCAAATAAGCAGCTTCAAGTTTGCTTAGAAACTGCTGATAAGTAAGTAAGCAAGCTCAATAGAAAAAACTGCTTAAAATACTTAAGAACTGCTTAACAGAAAATCTATTTGAATTCACACTTACCAAATGACAGCCTAAAATTAAGAAAAAAGGGAAGAAAATTTTTAATGCATTAAGACAAAGTTGCCTTTTCTCTATTTCACACAACAGTAGAACTCTACAGATAAACACAACACTATAACCACATTCAAATGCTTTTATAAAAATACTCTTTGGATTCTTGGTCCTGCAAGCTCAGCTCTGTTTCAAAACAGGAAACAATTATATTTCTAGGTTAATGATAAATTATTTTTCTCAGCTGAAACCTGGAACCAAACTTCCATCATCAGACATGCTAAATAAAATATCATCCAGCTGACTTGTACATGGTTTCTGCAGGAAAAAGTCACTCTGCAAGTCTGATTCATATCCTATATGTATTGGTACATTAGATTCACATATTTCAAACATTCACACGCTTCTAGATAAGAACACAGTAGTGATATCAGAAATATCTAAATTCCTCTTAAAATGATTTAGAAATGTCAGTGCTGAGCAATAGATGTGCCCTCGTGTGCAGAGTAAAAATACATACTTGAACCCAAGATTCTCCAGTTCCTGAACTGTTATCCCCAAGAGAGTAAACCTCTAGAGTACATCTCCACATGACACATTTATCTAAAGTGGCTGCACACATATAATGACGGCTTTTGTTCAGTGATCATAGTCATTTTGAGTTTGTTTAAATACTGCAGCCAAATGCTTATAAACTAATCCCAGAACATTTTGAAATGCTTCAAAGCTTTTAGCAGGGGAACCTCTTGCATAGGCTTGGCAGATGAAGCTGACCACAGTTCACTGGAAGCAGCCGGCTCAGATAAGTAAGATGAAAGCAGACATTTCCTGAAAATATCTTGAAAGCTTTCCATTAGTCTGTACCAGGGGTATACACTAAAAACAGAAAGTGCCCATGCTTGTATAGCAACCAATCTTCCCACTGCTTTCTCCATTCTTTCTTAACTACTGTATTTATATCTATTTATCTGCTTCATTTGGTATCTTGCGAAGTTCCTTGGCAGAAAAAGACACAACTTCTGCATTCTAGTTTACAACACATTATAAAGCAGCTATTACTAGAACAAAAAAAAATCTGTTTAACATACTAAATAATGTAACAGGAAGAAAACAAAATCTACCAATGCCAAAATTACTACAAATTACAAATAAGTAAGATATTTGATGTCCAGATAATTTTAAGAGTCACCCACCCCACAACAGGCAAGAATACCACTGTTTGAACATAAATCTCTGGCTGTCAAAGTGTACTTTAACAAGGTCGATTCAGCATTGCTGAATGTGCTATATTCATAGGAGTGCCTCAGGCTAGATTTTCCATAAAGGTAGAGACTGGCTGTTCACATTCTATACAATAATTTGACTGAATAAATACAACTGTTCACTAGGAACATGAAATACTCCACTGTTGAAATCTCCAACATTTTATACTTTGAGACATGCCACACTGTCCAGTTCCAGGCACTTTATTTTAATGAATGAGAAACCCAGGTTTCTTTAGTAGTCAGTAGACTTAAGGGCACATAAGCACTTTTAGCATCTTTTCAAGGACCTGCAGACTATGAAGTACACCTAGGGTGTAATTTAAGCACCAAAATTAGATATTAATGATATCCATCATGGTGTATCCTACTAAGAGTTAATACGCACACTCAAATGAAGAGAGGAGAGCATGATCATACCATAATACACTAGAATTCAATACAGCAGTAATGCTAACAGTTATTCTGTCCAGTATCTTATCACAAAAAGTGCTGGGGCACTCTGAAAGTGCACTGTGAAGTTAAGTACACCAAGTCCTCAGCACACGCTAGCCATGTATGTTTGAGGAGGAAGTGGTGAGCCACAACATTGATGCACAAAATAGGGTGCAAGCGAAGTCCAACAGTTGCTACTTGAAACAAAACAATCTTGCCCCCCTTAATAAAAAAAAACAAACTTCAGGTCTTAGATTTTTTTTTGAGGTATACCTTAGATTTTTTTTTTGAGGCATGCTCACTCTGCTTTCTGCAATCCCTGCACCCTGGGATACCTATAGTGTGGTCTGACACCCACCTGGGAAGAGGAAGCATTATCCTCTACCAGGGTGTTGCTTATGCAGCTTTACTGGTTAGTGCTGGCAGTAAAATGGTCGTCCTATGTCTGAAACCAGGTCAAGACCTGTGAATAAATGTGAAAGTGTAACTGAAGCTACTAAAGACCCACTCTGACTCAGGCCCCAAACAACTCTATGATCTAAATAACATTAGATGTGCTACAATGTGCATAACGCCCCAGTACATTAAGGGAGAACACTTAAATAGGGTGTAATTCTTTTTATGAGCATTATTAGCAATATATGACAGGCTCCTTGGGAGTCTGCAGGAAGTGAGAAAGGCCCTAAGTGAGGACTTGTGAGGGGTTGTCCAGGTCCTCAGTAACCTTTCCCTGCACAGTCCTGGCTTCCACTAAATACTCAAGCTTGATTAGAATTTCCAAATAATTAAATGTTCTACTTTAATCTTTCTGGAAATAATGCAACATGCATCACGTTATTAGAGGAATCTGAACACTCATTCTATCCCACCTACATTCTTCCACATTCTCTCCTAAGAGGCAGCTGAGAGTTGTTAAAAATCTCAAGATCATGAACGTGCAAGAAGCTTACAATAAGCAGAAAGCAGCAGAGGTTTTATTTATTATTTCACTAATATTATAAATAAAATCTACTCATTTTTATGATCAAATATAATTAATTTATTTAGGGATGGACATTTAATAAGTGAAGATAAAAGCGACTTGGTTCTGTGCTTACACTGACTGCTACCAGGACTGCCTACTACTTGTATAACATTTTAAAGCAGCTGTAAAACAATCATTACTTATGTAAACATTTACAGCTCATCATATGCAGAGACATATTTTAACTTCTGATCAAAAAGAGACACCATTGCCTTAACTGTACAGAAACTACTTGAAAAATTAATAAGATCTGTTTCACAAATTACCAATTCAACCAGAAGAATATATAGTAAAAATGACAAAAGATTTGTTCTTATAGTTGATAAAAAATTTATGCCAAGGCATTCAAGTAAAGTTACTTTCTGTGTTCTGATTTAATGAATCATTTGAGCGGTATCTGGCTGGGTGACACAGATGCAAGGCTCGCTGAAGCCTGCTCTAATGCCTGCTGGTACCGTCTTCCTTGGGACAGCAGAGCCAGAACAATGTGTCAGACTCAAGTAATATCAAGGAAAGTAAGTGCAGTGCTGGGCATGCCATGAGGCTGGCCCACAATACTTCCTGACCTGTGAATGTCTGAAAGTACCTCTCTGTCCTACAGGCTCCAGTGACCCAGGAAGCCCAAAAGCAGCAGCAGCGGCGCAATAATGAACAGACTCTGGAATAAAGATTTTTTCAATCTCATAATTCAAGCTCAAGACATACAAAGATTGGTTGATGGTTTAACCCTAATGGAAGGCAGAGCCTGATGCTAAACAAACATTTAACATTAGATAAGGTTTGTGTCTCTAACTTCAGAAATGTACATGAATTTTCAAAATACAAATTAAGGAACTTGATATGAATATGAATACAGCTTTTATAGATCATGTTTCTGTGAAGAAGTTTACTGAAAGACACTGTAATACAATCATGTTTTCCATTAGGGAAATTATTGTAAAGAATTTAATCCTACAGTAAGTAAAACACTTCTAAGGACTGTAGGTAAGGTAGTATTGTAATCTTAACCCACAAAACTAATCTTCATAAAAATAAAATACTGGCTTCAAGTATTCCTTGGAAGGAATTCTCCTGCTAAAAGAGATTTCCTCTCTGAAAGAAGTTGGCTAGAATACTTATACCTATTTTAGAAGCATACATATCTTTATAGAAGTAATTTGAGTTTAATCATAAAAGTGAAACATTTTAAGAAATTAGAAACAAAATAAGAAATGAAAAGCCTAACAGTTATGCTAAATCCAAATAATACAGTATACATGTCATTTTGCCCTAATGTCAGAGAGGGAAGAATGTATGTCAGCAGCAAATGGAAAAGGGTGAATTATACTCTTACTTCATCCTGCAAGGCCTCTTTAAAATCCCTTAAAGCTTAGCTTTTATTTTTTTTAACATAAGTTTGTCCACTGATAACATTTGATGCAAGGGGGACAATTCTGTTTCATCATGAAAATTTTGTTCGTTTGCATGAAAAATATTATTTTTGTTAATTCCACAGTTAGTTCCATGAAATCTTTCTTTTCTTTTACCTGAAAATTACATCTTGTTCCAATAGGCTAATAAGACAGTTGCACATAAGAATATTTGACATTTAAGGGTACTTACACAGACAGCAAAACAATAGCAATGAGAGTCCATTCAGGCATTTTGTGAATAATATTTCTGTTTGTTAACCTGAAAAATAATTTTTAAAAGATCAGTATATTTTATAGTAAAAGTAAGCAGATTTTAACAGCTGAATTTTAAGTCTACCATTAATACACTGAATTACAAAGAAGCAATTACAGCTGTAACTGAGCAATTCACCAGCTCTCAAGTTTCTATCATCCTCTAATGGAAGAACTGCAGAATTTCCAATGTCCCCTTTTTTTATATGGAAGTGGGATGGGGAAGACCGAACAGAAGCTATTTTTTTAATTTGCTCACAAATAGTCCCGGCTGTTCTGAGGGCCCAGCTGTCACACACACTGGGAAATTCTCCAGAACTACACACAAGTTTCTGAAAAGATGGACCTTCTTACACTTAGTTTCCCTCCCGTTGGCTTCAGATCCAGATTTGCTGTAAAAGCTGATTTGGACAGACTGAATTTTATATGGTGGCAGTGACAATCCTCTGATGATTCTTGTTTTTAAAATGGAAATCCAGAATTCTAACTTATGCAATGGGAGCAAGAGCAAATATAAGAGCCATACAAATATAAATGAGGTGTGAATAAAGAACCACATGGGTGTTCAACTAAAATGCTGCTGCTGCACTGAATACCAGCTGACCCCTTCAGCTGAACTGCCTAAAAAACCAGATCTGCTTTGAGTCAAGTACTAATCTGTGTTAAAACAATTCATCTGTGAGTTGCTGTCTCAATTTAGGCATGACCCTTGGTGTTCAAAACAAGCAATTTCATGAAGAAGTCACAGTCAAAAATGAAGTTGTGCCTACACGGGCACCCAAAAGAGCCAGCAGAATTAAATTTATTCAGGAAGGTGGCACCATCCAACAGATAAACTGAAAGCCAAGTGCCTCCCCTATGTTTGCTTCCTTCTTGCTTTCAGTTTCCCTTCCATGACCTTGTACAAATTCAGATCCAGAATGAAGATACCCTGTCACTCATACCCTCTCCTATAGGCACTGGTGAAGATAGCTCATTTTCAGCAAGCTCCTATCTGGTAACGAATTCAAATTCAGGGTTTTCTTCCTCAGTAAGATTACTTTATGAAAAAAAAATAAAATAATTTCAGCAAGTATATAGTTACCCAAAACCCCCACAAAAGGCTAAAATTTCAGAATGCAGAAGTATTTGTACTTGTCATTGATAAAATTCAAATTATAATAAGAAATTCCTCAAAATTATATTCAAAATGGTCATTAAAAATGTAGTTATCAGTATGATATTTTATAGTATTTGTTTGCATTTCTCTAGTTCAGAAAGATATTAAAAATTAATAAAATAAATTTGTAATGATCAAAGCAATATTATCCCATTTTTGTCCTCAAATCTCCAAGTCTTCAAACCAAAATAAGATATTGAAGCAATAATTACTCAAGTAGTGTCTCAACAATCTGAGTTTTGTCCAATTATGGAAGTAAAAACAATGTTTTGCACTACAAACAAAGAATTGTCACATCAAACAGAACCAACAGTTCTGGCAAATACTTATATTTGTTATAAAAAAATTAATTTTAGCAATTATTATTTGAAATAGCTAATGAATTTAGCTGGCAACAAAGCTTGTACCTGATAAACTGTTACATTTTTCTGGCTACAGAATAAGAGACAAAACAAAGGCTGAACATCTTGACTCAACACTGATGACAGTGATAAACACTACCAAGAAATGCCTGATGGAATCATCTTGACAGGCAATTCATATGTAACATTCCAGTTAATCTGTTATGATGAGACACAATGAAAGAGACAGCTCCGAGCCACCTGGGGAAACTCTGTCAAATAGACAAAGTAGCTTTATTTCAATGCTTTACAAGGAGTTATTATTGATTACAGCACAGGAAGGTGTCATTCTTGTACACAAACTGAGAGATGCAGTTATTTGTGTCAATTAACTCTTATTCAATGTTAGTATTGATTGGCAAGGTCTGAACACTAGTCATTGCCATCAATATGCTATTTCTGAAGGAGGCAGTCAAAAGACACAGATAACCAGCAGGACACAGCAGTATGGATCTGCTGATGTACTACAGTCACTGCACTGGATGAACAGTCAGGCTTCTGCAATTGAGTAACCTCTCAGTACAACACCTGTCCCAAAACACCTGTGCAGCTGGGAAAAAAAACCAAAACATTTCAGAGAGATCAGAGTAAAGCAAGCAACCTACAGGTGTGAAGCCTTAAATAATAAGGAGCAATGGAAGGGCAGTTACTTTCAAACAAGCTCTGTGTCAACACCAAGGCTTCTGAAGAGCAAAGCTTTCAGAAAACAGGGAACTGCAAAGCCTCTGTAAAAATGGTTCATTAACTCTTTGTCTTGCCTCTAGTCAAAGCTGTTACTTCTGAACAATCCATGAAAGACATCACTAGATTTCTGTATGCTAAAACTGTACAAAACTTTGTGTGTGTGATTTGAGTTTTGCAATGAAATCTTTTCTGTTAAAGAGTTTGGCCAAATTCTCCCTCACCTACCTAGAGAAAGAAAACAATTTGCAGCTTCCCAAAATGGAATGTGGCCACTTTGTTGGCCTGTGTAGGGCAGGATACACAAGCTAGGAAAGCTGGATGATCCCAAATAGCTGTGTGGGTTGCTTAGTTGCTGGTTTGTGGGTCTTGTGGTTCACTCCAGCAAGACATGCTGCAGCCACCCAGCAGGACTCACTCACACTCTGTGAGGGAGCCTGACAGAGCACATGGGTCCAAGTGGCAGAAGCTTCCAGGGTAAAGGACTGAAGAGTAAAATGCATTAACATTCCATCCCAAACAACCTCCTCATAACTGACTAGTGCCCAGCCTGCAAAGCAAGGGAACTCCAATAGGGAAATTGGAATCCTGAGTAAATAAAAACAGTAAACCCAGCATCTTTGCAAACATAGCAGCCTCTCCTTCCTACATCCAGATTCCCAGTTATGGGCATATATAACTGCAGTTCAAGAATCTGCCCGTTCTATAAATCAGGAAACTGACTTTGTGGGATTATGATACAAAGTCTTGACCTTAAGGGACCTCAGCTACCTGTATTTTTTTCCAAAAAATACACTAATATGCGTACAAAATGCACTAATATGAGTGAAGTTTAACTAACCCAGGGCAGCACAGGCAAATACTGAAGCATATATTGTTTTTCTTTAAGTTTCAACTAGACCAATTTAACCATTAAAGACAGCTTTTCTACCTCCTGGAAAACAGCAAAGTATTTACATACTGTAATATCATTTAGTTTGATGACAACCAGCAAAAATAAGTTACTATTTAATTTTAGGCTTCCTTTGAGAGAAGCCTAATTACTTGAGAAAAAGTGATTAGCATCCTGATACTCCCCTATTTCCACACAGAACTTTGTCTATGACCAAGTACTATTGATTGACTTGAAACCCCAAATTTAAAATTCCACTTAACAAGGGTAATAGGTAAAATAGGTAAAATAAATGTATATACCAAATAACATACATTCATGATACATACTTAAAAGCTAAAAGACTGTCTTAAACACATGATAAAACCAAGTTGTAACTAGAAGTCTTGAACACATCTCACAGATTCATTGGTAGAGTTCAATGTCAATGATAAGTTCCATAATGGGAATTAAAATACTCGCAACCATAAAATACAGAGGGAATCCTATTTTCAAAACTAAGTATTATGCCTTGAAAAAATCCAACCACACATTCAAAATCATTTATCCTCAATTTATATAAAAGAAGCTAATTTTCTCTTGATCTTTTAACAAAGTGCCCATACACACTCTGGAGAATTATTTGACATCTCAGTTTTCGTAACAAAAGCTTACAGGCACTGAGGGACTTTGTTTGGGAAGAGCTCTAACCATTCTAAAATGTCTCTTGAGATCTCTCTAGTGTGTTTCTTAGCAGTGGTGATTGAATAAAATGCTGCCCAAAGGAGGCTGAACTGCAAGTGTTCCTTTAAAAACCAATGGAGCTGAAAATTGTTGCTTAGTTCACCACATGCTCTTTTTACCCTTCTTCAACTAAGCTCTTACTACAGCCATGTGTTTTATCTACTACCCTCTTTGGCAAGCTCTTCAGCCTGAAATATATTCAGTACAAAAAGCAGGAAAGAGCATGAGCGTTTATCAGTGCTCCTCCATCATCATTAAGCATTTGAACCACATTAACAAGGAAAGTAACATTTGAATTTCTATACCCTGTAAATGCAAATACTGTTTAAAATTTATCCCAAGTCTCCCTGTCAAAGTATTCAATCCAAAACTTAGGAGACTACTAATTTTAAATAAACTTAAACCTACATACGAAGCTGGAGATTCAAGTTTATGCCTTCATCTTAATACTCATGAGCTGACTCTTGTGTACCAACAGACCCTTCCACATCAGTTACGCAAGACAAAAAAAAAGGGCCCAAAGGTTTTTATTGCTTCTCTATTTCCTGTGTTTTTGTATTATTTTTCTATCAGTGACAACAAAACTCCAGTTATTTTGAGACGTATATTAAGGCTTTTAAAATTCTTGTATAGTGCCCACAACTCTCTTTAACTATCCCCCATCCAGAATCCTGAATTTCTAAGCAACTGATCTGGAATCCTCAGAGTAAGAGAACCCCAAGAAGTTGCTACCATTACCTTCAACTTACTTCCTAACAAAAAACCCACAAAAATAAACTCACAAAGTGTTATCTAAAAGATCACATCAGATTAGGGGAGACCATTAAATTATGATGAATTACCGCTACATGGACCAGGTATTGGGTTAAAGCCCAAATAAATGTGATTTGGTTCTATTCTGTAAGCTCACAAGTGTGTATATATAAACATATACATGTTTAGAAGTCTATTTTGGTTTCAAGTCTCATTTGCTATAAACCACTGAAAACTTTATATTCATGCCCCATTGTCTCTGAATAGCAAAAATTATTTAAAATAGAAGCTCTGTTTTTGAGAACCTCCAGGCCTTCTTAGATAATCAATCATAAAAAAGTAGTTTGAAAGACACCAAATGTAATTTCTCCAGTTTTATTAGTCCATAAGCTAAAGTGACTATTAAGCACTTAAACTGCAGAGCAACAAAACTGTTTTAAGACAAAAAGATCTTACTCAAACAATAGGTATCTATACACTATGCACAAAAACATTTTCACTGTTTTCAGTCATGTTAAAATAAAATGTGAATCAGATCTTAAAAGACTGCAATCACAGAATCAAATTCAAATAGTATCAATGTTTTTATTTAAAAGAGATCATGCACATAGTTACCAGAAAGGGAGAATTTTCCACACTAAGGAATCTTGCACAGACATCTGTGTTTTAGTGGTGTCCTTCCAGACATGTGGTAAATCATAAGGAACCAGGTAGAGCTGGGTTTCTATTCACCAAAGCCTAGATTCCTTGTGGCAAATGCTACATGAACGAGTTTTGGAACATTTACATGGAAATCTCATGCAGGTTGAGGATGTGGGAAGGACATTTCAAGAGTGGCAATGTACACACAGTCAACAGCTGCTGTTGCTCATTTTCTGACAATACTTGAGGATGCAGGACACAATCTAGGTCCAGGTTATAAGAGTTGTCTCCCAAAGAAAACCTAAAAATATTCAGGGATGTTACCATTCTGTTTTCCCTCCTTTATCTCACTGTTTCCAAATACTGTCTTTAGTACTACTGACTGAAGCAGAAGCTTTACCTGTGGTGATAAAAGTGCCCACTAGATCTACTTCCCTTTGAAATCAGGAACAAGACAGATCCAACTGACTGACTCTAGAAGTTAGTGGTAAAAATTACTAACCAGATTAAAACCATTTAGCCCAGCTGCAGGGAGCCAGAGCAAAAGAAAGGGACAGATCTCAGAAACTCATGCTTAATAGGAGGTGACGAGGTAGCAGAACCTTTAAAAGACTCACCAGCATCCTCCAGAGACCACTGGCCTAGTTTTTAAAAATCTACAAATACTCCTGGTGACCTAGCCACTGTCAGGAGCAGGAAAAGGGCTGACTTGTTAGTCCACAGGGAATGTGACATTACCTACATGAACACACAGCTAGAGAAGGGCAAATCTGCAATAGGGCTCTCTCTGTGCCCAAATCACAAATCATTCAACAGCATGTATAATTCATCAATTTATAAGAATCTCCACGTAAAGACCAATACTCACCGGAAAGTTTTGACAAGATTTTTCAGCTCTGTGTAAACATCACCTGAGGCAATCTGAAGAGGGCCCAAAACTGCAGATAACCTAGAAGGCAAAAGACACCAGTCAATATACATTTTCCTCTTTCTCATTTCTTCTCAAGTAGGACTTCCACCAAAGCTTATCAAAGTTAGTAAAAAGGAAAATAAATTGACTTCTGTGCAGCAGATGAAGCCTGTAGTTTTCATTTCAGCTCTCTCTGTGCACTGTTTGGGCCAACATCTTTACTTCACAATCACTTGTTTTTAAAAATAAGAAGCTCTAGTTCAGTGTGAATGTGAAGATTTAAATATAGTTCTACGTACATATACTTACTAATTTCACCTTTCAGCTCTGAAAAAATATTCTTAAAATTATTAAGAGGATTAGAACTACAGGCCTTATAAATTTTTTGAAGGTTTATATATACTCGGCTCAAAAATAACAAAAGGAAAATGCATGTGCAAATGAGGTATTCACACATAATACACCTGCTAACCTCAGACTCACACAGATGCAACAGAAATGTCAGTCCACTGTGAGCTTGATAGTTGAAATCAAATAGATGATAGTTATCAGAGAATTTCAAGAGAGAAAAAGACAGGTTTCCTCCTTACTTATTTGTGCATAAAACCAGACAGACCACACAAACGGCACATACTCTTTAATTAGTTGTCAGGATTCCCAAATGATGGAAATAACATCCTTTGTTTTTCACATTTAGGATTAAACTTTTGCCTCTATTTACTTGTTTAATAGTTAAAATTCTCTTGCATTTGAATATCCAGTGATTTGCATTTATATGCACATAACGCATAGGTCATCGGTATCCTGGAAAACTGCATGTTTTATAAAAACAGAACACAGGACTCTTATGATGCTGGGCTTATTGATTGATATATCACAATGAAAATTATCTCTTGATTGTGACAGGATGACTGCATCAGCTCAGGAAATTTAAAATAATCAACACTTACAGACAAGACACTTGGGGGATGGTTTGATTCCATGTTTGTGGCCTACCCACACACGGTGCAGGTAGAGAAAAACAGAAAGGATTTTCTTCTTATTTTGGTGGGGATGGTGGGATTGATTTTGAGGTCTTTAAGTTGAAAAAAAAGCTTCTGCAAAACCTAGTTTGCCTAGGTAACACAAACTACAACGACAGAAAAGTAAATACCCTTACCCAAAAACAACAGAATCATGACCTTCAAACACTCATTATCTGCACTGCATTCACAATGAGAATATTTTCAAGGTCCTCCCAGCTTTGAAAATTTTATAATTCTAACAGCTACATCAGAAATGCCTTAATTTCTTTTGTGTGACTCCAAATTCCTTTTATGTAAAGAAGGTCTGATGTTTGGAATGTTTTATGACCCAGTTCTGAGGGCCTTTAGTGGTGGCAGCTAGGGACATACTGATACCAGACATCCAAACATGTATTAGAAACAGAATCTCTCTTTTTAAGACCCATGCTTAAACAATTCCAAAGATTTGTTTACAAGTAACAGTATGCTTAGCATACAAGACAAATATCTGCATTCCTCTCAATCGATTTCAAGTTTTTCAGTCTAAACTTAAGCAGTTGGTACCTACAGACTGTGCAAACTGGCACAATGCAAGTGTACTACAGCTGACTGTTGCAGAAATAAGCAAGTCCTTTAGGGCAGTAATGGCCTGAAGTTATGACTAGGGCCACCTAGAAAAAGCCAGACCCATCCTTGGACAGCGAATTTGTCACTTAAAACAATGACAAATGAGCAGCAACTTCAGACCGACATTCACCAAAGTAAAGGGTACTTACGCTTTTCTCAGTTTTTCAAGGACGATTCGCTTCCTAATCTGCATTTGTGCATTTGAATCAACAAGTGGGAAGGTGAGCTCTTCCTGCTGATCATCCTGTATTAGACAAGAAATTTTAACAGCTATAACCTGGTGTTTAATTAAAGCCAGTACATCAAAAACGTCACAGATAATCAATACATATTTAAACATTAAATAAGTCTTATCTCTGAATTACAAAAAAACCCCTCCAAACTACTTTTTAATGGGCAGACACTTGCATAATCTGATGCAACAGAGTATACTACTAATGAAGCTAATGGAATCGTCTCTTTCTCCATGTGAGATACGCAGCCACTTATGACAGCAGAAACAAAGTACTAATTCTTTGAAGGTCTATTCAGGCTTCATACAACCTCCACACTGTTCTACTAGACACTTACTTCGTCTTTGCTTGGATATTCCTCTGCTTGTGTCACTGCCTCTTCAGCCAAGATGCACCTTCCTTTATAGAACTCTTTTACTCGGAGTTCTAGAAACTCTGTTTCTTCTTTTAATTTTTCATAATTAGGCACAGGCTTAACTATTCCACCTGAGCCTGTGAAAGGTAAAGAGTAGTTCAAACTGTTTTCAGTCTCCCCTACAGCAACAGTGTCGAGATCATCAGGTGTATCTAAGTCATCCTCATCAAGTTCTTCAGTCTCCTGGCTGACAGATGCTGTGCACTCTGATGAGCACAAAGAAGTATAGTTTGGGCCATAGAGAAATTTTAAAGTTTCCTCAGTTCTCCATTCCATAAGTGTTTGCCTAAGCACTTCTAGTAAACTGCCTTTGGAATTAACTGGATGCCTCAGTTCAGGGTTATGATGTTCTGTTGAGTTAGCTAGTATTCTTTTCAGATATTCTGCTCCTCTTTTGCCCACATCTAGAAAAACTATCTGTGATCCACATGTGTTTTCAAAGATTTCTGAAGCACCTGATTTCCCTGAAGCAGTATTGTTTGAAGGTGGTGCAGTTACGTCATTATGAACAGAACAAGCATGTCTTCCTTCCCAAGTGTCTAATTTACAATGAGAGAGCTGTTCAGTGGCTTCTGTCACATCTGCATCTTCAGTTTTAGGGCTGGCATGGACTTTCTGAGCATGCTTCTTTTTGAGGATGCTTTTTCTGTGCACTTGCTGTGCAAAATTGGCTGAACTCGACTGACTTCCTGGTAGGACAGAAGAAATAAACCCTTGTTCAGTATCAGTACTGCTGTCACTGGCTGTGTCATGAGAACCAGATTCACATGGATCTGAAGATGTCCTAGGATTTTCAATGTCAGATGCTTTAATTACTTCATCACGTAGTTTCACCTCTTCTCCAGATTGTCCACTGCAATAGAAAACCCAAGCCATCAGTGAAATAAGAAATTGCTTTTACCTGCAATAGCTTTTCATTCTCATGTAAGAATGATAAACAAAGCATTTTCCGCCTTGTAGCAGAAGTGTAATTTTTTGCTTTAAGAATCGTAAGTGCTCTTCTAAAAGTCTTCTTGAACTCTAAGAATTGTACTATTCTACAATCAAAATGACAAGTACAGAGACTTTAAAGAAGTGAGTTCTTAGCTGATTATTGGTAGTTAGAAAAGAACAGTATAAACAAGATATTATTAAAGACAGCAGAACAATGTCAGACTTAGCATTATGAATAGTGCAATTTTAAAATGAAGACAGGCATGCTAACATATATAGGAATATAGTGCCCTTAAATCAGGGGAACAGCTGAGCTGTTTCAGCGTATATAAGTTTGCCACCTAATGGCAATGCGTTGCAAAAGAAAACAAACAAAGTTGCACAATACACAGCGCGTATGTACAGTGAGATGACAGAGTAACGTGATTTCATTTTGGCTGATATAGACCTTTCAGATTAAGAAGTACAGAAGCTTTCATCACATATAATTGGCACAATTTTCTTTATAAAAGAATAGATAGCATAAAATATTCTAAGTACAAACAGTGTATTTGTTTCAGATTTCAACAGGCTCAATTAAGGCACACAATTCAAGAGCAGCTGTACACTAAATCATACAGATCAAATATGCTGGGTTACAATCACAAATGAAAAAAAATGTTTGCATAGGTTCTAGTAAGGTCTTTTTATAACGGAGCAAATCAAAGATTCCCTTTTTCATCTGCTATGATGCTAAAATTTCTAGCTATAGGTACATCTAACAACAACAAAAAATATTGTTCAGTGTACCTCTGTCCCTCCTTCAGCAGCTCTATGTCTGGTGGTCTGAAAAAAGAAGACAGAATGAACATTTTCCTGCTATTCTTTTGAAATACACATAAGTACAAAAACAGTTGAGTTTGGGAGGGACACCTGAGGATCTTCTAGTCCAACAACCTCTGTTCAAAGCACGGCTAGCAAGAGCAGGTTTGTGCACGTGTTCAGGGAGCATGACTTTGTGTGCCTGCAGCACAATGCTGTTACAATGAACGGAACTTAACCCAGTCACCAAGTCCCACAAAGGTTTGTCAGAAAGGACCTCTGGAAGGCTCTAGTCTGATCTCCTGCTTAAAATGCAACTGTCACCAGCCCTAGGTTAGGTCAGCCACAAATTCATGAAGTTTAAATCTTGAAAACCTCCAAAGATGGAGATTCCAAAACATTGCTCAGTATCCTGTGTCATTCCACCATAACCTCAGTAAAATATTTTTCCAAATGTCCAGCCTAAACCATTCACGTGATTTATCTGTGCCCATCAACCAAGAACAGTTTGGCTCTGTAATCTTTCTAACTTTTTTCAGCTAGTTGTACACTGCCTTCAGATCACCCTTTGGTCTCTTCTTCAAACAAGTGAACATGCCAAGATCCTCATAGATCATAAGGTTCCTATAGTAAAGACAGTCCTGGACTATTTACAGGAAAATGCTCCAATTAATGCAAAAATATGAACATTCAGGATATTTTTACTTATTTTAAATTTTAAAAATTAGGCTATCAAGTTATATTTTTTTAAGAAAATTATTTTCAAAGGTTTCCAGAAACTAAAAATATTATGAAAAAAATTCTGATGAGTTTCTTTCCAAAGCTCTACTTGCAATTAATTTACCTCAATTCAGTTATGAGGCAGCATCACAGTCCTATTCCTCTTATCCAGTACCAAATGTTAAAAATCTCATGTATCCTATGAATGAAAGAAAACCTTTTAAACAGGCACTAAATGCAAGTCAGTGCATGAACACCTTTCAATATTTAAAAGACCCCACAGGAAAGCTGCACTACTCCTGTCAAACTGAGATTGGAAACTAAAGGTGATTAACATGGATTTAAATTATTATCTCCATATAACTCTTCTTTGGAGTTTTAAGTGGAGGTTGTACTCTCTTCAGTCACAGGAATTTCAGATATTCTACTATGTCAGTGTGTATCGGTGTGTGCACATGTATGTGGCTGCGCAAAGAGGTGCAGCTAGCCAAGAACTACCTGGGAGTTTGTTTGTGTTTTGAAAATATTGCCTCTCCACCACCACCCAGAATGAATAATTAACTATATCAGGCATAACAGAACTATACAGTTTTGATGTGAAGAATAAGGGGAGATTTTAAAAAGACTTTTCTTTAAGATAGCAAAACAATACCTCAAAAGCATTGGTAAACTTTTAATGAAGAGTCTAGTTTTACCTACTAGAATTCCTCAGAGCTGATGAGGCTGCTCTAAAGCTCTCTTTTCATTGATACTATATTTCATATGACACATATAACTCCACCTAGTTTCTTTTGTTGAAAGCCAGGAGACTATGAGAAGTAGTGTATTGGAGAATGAAAGCTGAGTAAATTTGCTGAACATTGCCTATGAAAGTCTTTACTGTTCAACAGTGACACCCATTGGCTCCATTGATTATTTGCAAGCCCATGTTTCCTTAGCTGGGAACATGGACTGCAGACACTGTTCCAAAATGTGTATTGCAGAAAGAACATGGGCAATCAGAAACTTAGACTGGATAAACAACCTCTTCATGACTGCTTTCAGATACAAGCATTCACAATCTAAGCTTAAGATCAATACCAAGTGCTGTGCTAAAATTAGAAAATCTTTTGTAACAGAGTAAGATTATTTCATCTTGTACATGATATGGTTTGTAAGAATTCAATCCTAGTCAGTCCACTTCAAAGTTAATAGGAGTTAACTTTTATAAGTTAATAAAGTTAACTATTATTTCTGACTAGTCTGCCCTCTAAACTAACATGGTCATGTCTGCTAAGTAGATGTGAACAGTACTTACCATGCCAATTACTATAATCCATACAGCTACAACACTTTTAAAACGAACACCATGCTAAGCTAACATGTTAACATCAGCTACCTCTGCTTCAGCCAAATCATTTTGATGTGCTGCAGCTACTTAAATACCACTGCAGATGCACAGAGAAATAATATTCTCAAAAGGTGCACTGAATATATAAGATTATACTTACTTTTCCTCTTCTCTCATCCACACTGGACTTTTGGAAATTTGAGCTTCAAAATATTTAGATGCTCTATAGCAAAAGTTGCTGCAAAAGCACTGGCAATGAGAGAAAGCAAGAAAACATGACTAAGGCAAACTTCAATACACAGAAAGGTATACAAGCAATTGCTTTTAATGCCTGTAAAATTATGTACCAATACACGTTTCTTTCCAAGCCTATGGCCAGGTTTTTAGTTCACATGAGAAACAACACCTATCAAACAGGTCTATCCCATTCTGCACAAGCCACATTTAGCTGCTTCTTTCTTCCCCATTTTTCTGCTTTCTGCACTTTCATTACACACTGAGAAGCAAACCAATGTTGGCTTCTATATAACAATAATTTAAAAAAACCCCAACAAACGAAACTGTTCAAAGAGCAACCCATTACCCGATATGCTGTACATACAGTCTGAAAGACCTACAATAAAATTCAGATGTTTAATAATGATAATTTTGGTTAGCAATAGAACCTGGTATTTTGCAATACTTGGAACAACATGTAAAAATCTGAAGCATCTTTAAAAATTGATTTGCAAACTTGCATCGCAAGGGAAGAAGACAAAGCATCCCACTTCTTGTTGGAATCTTGCCTGATTGTTCAAGAAAGCAATTCCTAAAATTTTTTGTATCCCAGAGTTTTATCCAGAGGAAAGGAATGCATACTAGTGACACTGAAGAAATTTGCTCTGTAACTGGAAACATTTATCTTACAATTTAGTGTCTAAGTGTCTGCAGGTGATTGTGTATCCTATGAACAGGCAAAGATATCTTTTATGCAACCACCTGTGAATATGCCTCCAGAAAGAAAAGTTTCGTGAAGAGTTAGGTTTTATGTTGAAAAGTTCTCAGAAAAGAAACCTAACTGTTGCCCAAAAAAGAACACTAAGTAATATATAAGATATAACTTGTACTACATTACTACAAACTTTAGTGATTGAAAAGGATGTGCACATTGATCCTACTAAAGCTCACTGACTATGCTGGAGCAAAATAAAGAACATCTCTTCACAAATGCCTTTAACAGATCAGCTGTGCCACACTCTAACAGCTATCCAAGTACAACTTTACATGTTATGTTTAAACTTAGAAAACATGTATTTTGTCTCACCAAAGATATCATCTATAAAGTGAAATGCACAGAAATTTCATTTTCATGTTCAAACACTTTGATGAAATTATTTTCATAGGAGCCAAACATATTTGCCTCTGAGTCAAACCACTATATGAGTGCTGTTACCAAATGCATTTCTGATGTTGCCACCATTAAACACATTCTAGAAATACACTTGTTACCATACCTTTCTTTCAGTGATATCATAAACTCTGTTCGTTTTTGTTGAAATTTTGTACTTCTGCTTTGGTACCTAAAACAATATACTTTAATCAATAAGACAGTCAGCTCCATAATGACTACAGAGAAAAACTTCATTCTTAACTCACATATTTGGGTATGTGCAATATATTCTATTTAACTGAATTGTGTACTACAACCACCTTTTCTCTCAGTTCTTCTGACATTGCACCTTCTCAGATGTAAGAATAGCAATTCATCTCTAATCATATACATATCATTAATCAGTAAAAGGCAGCTTCAGAGCTAAAAGAAAACCAGTACTGAACATAAAACAATGGAGCTCCCATGGCAGAAGCTTTCCTTATGTCTAAGTGCTGAGCAATTACAGACAGGTCCTCCCTTAATCCAGATCTATTTATATGTGAGACTGTCCTGTCATACCCCTACCACTACCCAGACAAACCCAGAGGAACTTATGTAAACTGTAACAGTTTAGAAACGAACATCTGTGCAAATATATGAAGTCCTGAACAGAAAATTGTTTTGTACTTGAGTAGATTGTTTTCAGATATTCACGTGTAGCATGGTATTCATCACAGGCTATCTAACTGACCTCTGAGTTCTGCTTAAGCTCTCATGCATCACACGTAAAGAGGGGTGACTTTCACCTTAACACAGCTGACATACATTTTCATAGCAGATATATATGCATTCACATAATAATATCCCTGCTTTGTATTGCTTTTTCAGTTCAATCTTTCTCATAGACATCTGCTGCTGCAATGACAGAAGAACAAGATTTCGAAGTTTTTCATTCACAAAGGAAGGCCATGAAGCCACAACTCATTCATCTTTATCAGTGTCAAACAGATACACAGACTGTCATTCTGACCATACAGTAACTGATTCTGTCACACAGTAACTGCTGACTACAGATCAAATTTCACCTTTCACTTCAGAAGAACTATACTGAAATGGAATTATATAATGCCTAGCTCATTACTTTTCAGCAATCTGTGCTTAATATTCTAAGTTTAAAATTAAAATAAATTGCAAGAGAATAAAAATTGTGAAAAGAATCCCTTGATAACAGCATTAAAGGAAAGCAACTTACATTTTCCAGTTTATTCTGACATAGAGGATAACCACACAGTTTGATGATAGACCGTTCATCAACAACATCTTTATAGTGAGATGGAGTAATACATTTTCCCTAAAATAACGAGAAAATAGATCAACAACAGATACTGGAAAACTTGTCAGTTTCTGTACTCAAAACATCTCTTAAGCATATAAATATATAAATATCTTAAATTTTGTAACAGTTATCTATTTATTTTAATAAACAATATTGAGAACCTACACAGTAGAAAGGGTAAAAGGGTAAACAGAGAAGGAAAACAGATGTGGACATTTCTTTTCTACATATACAAGACCTTTATCATTTTGCCTCTAGTGGCAATAGGTGGCACCTATTTCTGTAATTTCCCTTCATTTACATGTTTTGTACACCTATTAATCAGCACATTTACAATCTTAACAAGAGTGATCATCATACCATTCCAGCAAAACTCTGTTGCCAGGTAACTGCGGTGCATTATAGAGCCTTTGTCTAAATTTATAGATGGTATGGTGTTAACCTAATTTTTTACAGTTCATCAGTCAGTCTAGAACTACAGAGGTATAAACCAAGGCTGTGATGAGAGTGAGGATTGATTAATGTACACAGTCCTGCAAAACTAGGGCATGTTTTCACTGCAGAACCCTTAAAAACAAGGAAGTTGTCATAAGAGCTGGTACAAGAGGGAATCAATGGTTTAGCTATTTTGAACTGCATCAAACTGTTCCAAAAACTTTTTTAAAAAGTATCACATTAAGATACAAAACAGTATAAAAACTTGCACCACCTACACAATTTAGAAGAAACTCTTCAGTAATGTCCTCTTCCAGGAGCTGTTCAACAATAGACAATGCTTTCTTCTCACATTCAATCTTCTTTCTCAGTGCAGCCTCCAGAGCTTCCTTCCTGTAACAGAACAGACACCAAATGATAGAGGGCAAATTTCCATAAACAATTTTCTAACTGTATTGTTATCTTTTTTTCTGAAATATAGCTTACATTTTTCTGCATCACACCATGTTGGCCAAACAAAGCAACAAGTAACTGGACTAGTAACTCTGTTATAACTACAAAGGGTTATATATTTTATATTTGTTTTCTTTACTTAACTGGTCAAGAAAAGTACTGACTCTAACTGTATTGCAATACACTCCTCAGATTTTCTTGCAAGAAGGAAATTCAGAACTGTCTGGACAAAGAACCTGGGACAATTTATGGAGTGTTGTGAGGAAAAGAGGAACAGTGTAAGACATGAAGAATGGGAAGGAAAAAAGAACTAGGACATGACTAAGTATGAGGTTACAAAGTAAAGAAAGGAATAAAACAAACAAATGCCACTTCCTGAGTGTTTTTTGATGTCAATAATTATAAATGGCAATTATTAATTACAATTAGAAATTATAATTGTAAATAATTATAAATGGTATGTAAAGAAGTTAAGACAGCAAAAAGCAAGCACTACAGACTAAGGAAATACAATTTTGGACGTTTACAAACTTTTAGTACATTACACAATGCTCAGATGTGCATGCTGTTAGAAGTTACACAGCATCACTCCGAACATGTCTACATGATGATGCTGGTGATTTACTGTAGTTAGTTGTGGTACTCTGAAAAAACAAAGCCTCTGCAACACAGAGACTACAATTTCAAAGTGAGGCAAAACAACACAAATATCACATCCTGTTCCTCAGAAATTATACCTCTGAGCAGCATCTTCACTTTTCTGAGCAGCTGAATGCTTATTTCCTAGAAATCAAACATACAAATATAGAAATTAGTGTACTTTCTTAACAGTGGAAAATGTTGGAACCCAAAACATAGGAAAACCTCTACACTGTGAGGAGTCAAGATAATTGCTTAGTAACTTGCTTTTGATGGCTGTGATTTCAGTAAGCTGGTGTTCAGCAACCAGTTAGACACGGTTTTTAAAGTGTGAAAACAGACAGGCCCAACTTCTCTCATACTCTCATTCACCATGTTCTGTACACACAAAAAAGCTAAGAGAAAAACTCATTCTGACAATGATTTTGTGCCAGTCACACCCCCGTCTCTCCAGCCCAGCTTTACCCCGGCACCCACTGCCGTCCCCACAGCCGCCCCACCGCAGGGTTTTGCTCCGGGCCAGGTCCAACGCCGGTACCCTCACACAGAGCCGCTCTTGCCGCCCTCGCTGCCGCCGAGGACAGCGCCCTGACCCAGCCCCCGACTCGGGTGCCCCGGGCAGCTGCTCCCCTACGACAAAGGCAACAGGCAGGGAGATACCGGGCTGTTACCCTAAGAAGGACGCAGCGCTCTAGGAAGGGCACAGCGCTCTGACCAGCTGCACGACGCCATCACAGCCCGGCCCCGACGCTCATAGCGGGCCAGGACGGGCTGGCCCCTCACAGCCTGAAAGGACGGCGGGTGCCGGCCTCGCCTCGCCTCGCCCAGCCCAGCCCACCCCTCATCAGGGCCCCGTGCTCAGCCGGCCCGGCAGAAACCCACAGAGCCGACCACAGCCGGGCCGCCGCTCCCCTCGGCATGGCGCGTTGGGCGAGTCCCTCGTTGTGCCGGTCTGGGGGCACAAGGAGAGTCCAAAGCGGCGGGGGGGGTGGTGCGGGGGCGCGCGGATCCTGGCACCCACCTGCGCGCCGCCGGCGGGGCTTGCCCGTCCCGGCCGCCATCATCGCCATCACCGCCGCTCCGCCCGCCGACCTCTCACCCGGGGCGGGGCCGCGGCTGCGGCGGGGCCGGGAGAGGCGGCAGCGAGGAGCTCAGGGGTTTCGTCCGGCAGAGAGTGAGGTGAGGTGGTGCCCCTGTGGTTTTTAATTCATCTGTGCGTTACAGGCTGAGGCTGGCAGCCTCTTCGTCCCAGCCTGGGTATTGTACCGCCCAGGGAAGAGGCTGGGGTGTCTGTTTATTAGGAGGGAGTTTGGTGAGTATTAATAGAACGTTTCACATGATTCAGATCTTGTCTACTTGCCGCTGAAACCTCCTAAAAGATTCAGTTGGAAACCGGATTAAGTATTAAGGCCGGAGACCATCTGCGAGCTTAGCCATTAAATCCCTGGAGCAATACGGTGGGTGCTTGAGGCGCATTTCAAGGCTGTAAGTACATTGTGAAGTTATTGAGGGCTGAAAATGGAACAGTGCTGGCGTTCGAAAGTATGTTAAATTGTTTTGGCAGGATCAGTAACAGTCTGTAAAACAGAGAGCTTAAATAGTACAACGTGTAGTAAAACACGTGGTACCTGGTTAAAATGACAGGCTAGAAAGGATAGGTTTCAGTGACATACAGATGTCAAAATGGGTCGTGAGGAATACAAAGTGAGTTATTCTTTGAATAAAGAAGGTTACACACAGATGCCTTTTAAGCTTTTGTGAGTTGCCCCCCTTTTGTGAGTATCCACGTAGGTTTGTTCTCCTTGTGTTATCTCATGTAGGTGTGCTGGCGTTTGGCCAGCATCAACCCAGCCAGATTAGGTCAAATGTAAGAGGAGAGGCTGAGGACATTGCATGGAGATGTCTGTGTTTTGATGAATAATTACCTAATTAACCAGGTGTAGGGGTACTTGACACTTATAGTGATCATTTAACCAGGTTTAGGCCCATGGCATTATTTGGAACCATAAAGATTATGACTTCTGCTATGATATATCACATGGGATAACCATGCATGATTGTATTTGTAATTTATGGTCCTGGCTATATAAAACTTGGTACATACTTGACATTACTCAAATGTATAACTTTGTTGTTTATAGCAAGAAAATTTTAAATTTTAATGCCTAAAGGTAAAAGGCCACTGAGCTAGTCCAACCTAGACACTAGAAAGAAATAAATGAAACTGTATGTGTAATCTTGACTGGACTGTTGATATCAGTTGGCATGGTGTTTGGATCAGTGCCTTCACATCTCAGACACTGGGTTAATGTGTTCCAGTCAGGGCTGAGCAGAAGCTCCTCTGGTCAGAATAGTCACAGGAAATGTAGTGTGTCATGGGTGTGCACACTTGGTGTACAGTGAGTCCAGGCTTGCTCTGTTTTAGCTGCAGTTTTCCATGTATGTGCCCACAGTAGTCACTGAAACCTTCAAACTTCTTAAGATCATCCAGATAGTACTTGAAAACTTGTTTCCCTGTACTTAGAATGCAGGTTGTTTCCTGTCTGTAATACTGTCTCCTGCTAATATGGGGAGTAGAATAATATGGCATACAGTTCTTAAAAATTAATTTTCCCTTATTTTCTAATTACGTAGTCTTAATATTTGTCTAGATTGTTCTTATTCCTCTATTAAAATTTTTTTTTGATAATGTGATTATTTTTCAGCCTCTGTTTTAAATTCATGTGATATAATACTGCCCTCTTCATAATAAATTTTCATGCCAGAAGAACACAGTCAAACTATAATGGCAGTTGATGAACTTCAAGCCATAATACAAAGATGTGTAAGTAGTTTTCTTTCCTTAGAAGTAATAAGTGTAAGTAGTGTGAGTTTCTCTTCATATATTATAATTAAAGTCAAAATGACCTCAGAAGAAAAGTCAGCTGTTAGTAGAACTCCTCATGGGATAGCTAAGTTCATCCTCCATATTTCATTTCTTCCAGACTTCTCTGTGGTGCTTATCCCAAGATGCTTGATTATTTCTGCTTCTTGGAGAAAGAAGTGCTCTTGTAGCTAGTAACGAAAGCTGGTTGTTGTAGAAGACACTTCTTCCAAACAGAATGCTGTAGTCTAAACTTAGTGGTATTAAAATACTGTCTTGTCTTCTATAGTAACTTGGTAGCTTTTTTAATATGTGAAAAATGTATAAAAGTTACAATGATGCTACATTTAATTTTGAAACGAAAGCATAGATTTTCCTATTTCTTATTATACTTTAATAAATACAGAGTTAAACATTCATATTTTCTTTCTAGCAAATTCTGGAAGAAGCTGATTTCAAAGGAGAAGATTTTAATCTGTTTCAGGTAGCAGGTCAGAAATGTTTGGAAGATGGATATGCAGCTCAGTTATTAGAAGTAATTCAAAATGAGAAAAACAAGGTGAGTTTAAGTTTGCACTACATATTAATGTTTATTAACATCATTAAATAGAAAACTGCTTATGAACAGGAAAAGCTATTTTCCCTTGGAGCTGTACATATGAATAGCTAATAAGTTGCCCTGTGTTAAGTCACATTATTCTGTGTTCAGGTAGCTCACAGAATCTCAAGTCATGGTAATCTCAACAAAACCATTAATAATGCTTCTTTGAGTGAAGCAAAGAGAAAAGGAAGCAGAAAATCATAATTAGGAGAAAGCGACAGTGTCCCACTTCTGCAGGAGAGGGGTTTCAGATGGTGTACTGGGTCTGGCTGGCATGGAGCTGGCTTTCGTCATGGCAGCCTGCAGTGCTGTGTTTCAGATTTGTGACCAGAAAGGCGCTGATAATACACCAGTGTTTCAACTACTGCTTGTGCAGCATTAAGGCCTTCTTCATTTCTCACTCTACCCCCAGTAAGCAGGGAATTTGGGAGGAGGCACAGCTGGGACAGCTAACTCAAAGCAGTGAGATATTCCACACCATACAACATCATGCCCAGCAGTTAAGACAAGCGGATGGGGACCCATTCCAAAGTGGTGTTGCTTGGAGGCTGGCTGGGCATTGGTCTCCTTGTGGGAGTTGATCTGCATCATTGCCCTGTCATGCCCTGCTGTCTTTTGTCTTTCACTTATTACATTGTCCTTATCTCTGGAGCTACTCTGTTTTGCTCTTTTGACTCTTGCCCCCATCCCACTGAGGGACAAGAGCAAGCAAGCAGCTGAGGGGTGCTTAGTTGCTGTTGAGGGTGAGCCTACCACAAATGGATATAATAATAATATTGGCCAACTGTAGGAGCCATCTAGGCTGATGCTAATTTGAAATGCTAATGTTGGTGGGCATTAGAGATGCTGGGATTGAACAGAGATAAACAGGAAGTTCAGAAAGAAAGTGAAGGGTAGAATATTATAGCAATGTTACATGGGGTTCACCATCTGGTTTTGAATTTTGTGAGTTTGGAGTAACAACTGAAAATCTCAATGCCCACATGAGTAATTTGTCCAAGTGTACTTTCAGTACACTTCCTCTCTTCAGTCTTGTTTTAAATGTATTGTCATAGACATTTAAAAGTATTATATTGACATGTCAATGTTAATTATTAGAAGAAAATGATACAAAATATGCGGTTGTGTTTACAGGTATGGGGAGAGAATACAATGTGTGTCAAATTATGGGAACAGTTGCTAAATATTCAGTGACAGTAATGATTACAACCTGGATACTAATGTGTTTGTTGCTTTTAGTCTTTATATGTACAATCTTTCTGGGTTTAGAAGACATCCAGTTTTGGTTTATTCTCTGAAAATCTGGTTTTTAGGTTATCATCAAGAATATGGGTTGGAATCTCATTTCTCCTCTTGTTAGATGTATTTTCATGTATAAACAAGAAGATGATAAGCGAGAACACTGCCTGAGGATACTAGAACAGTTGGCACAGGTATGGTTTTGAAATACGTGATTATGATACAACAATATTAGGGAAATTTTGCACAAAAAGGGTCATTAATCCATGAAGTTAGTATACTAAAGGCCAGTTACACACAAATTGATCCAATTTGATTCTGACAAAAATCTGCAAGACCTTGCCATTTGCCACTTACCTGTGTCTGAATAGTATTTATTGTTCTTTTCTGCAAAGTCTTTTCCTTAAATCATTCACCCTCCTTCAATATGAGAATCATTACCTGATGATTCTGTTGGAGTAGGAGCAAAAAAAATGTTTTAACCTGTAAAAATCTCATTCTCTTTCATTTATGCACTCCAAAAACAACTTGCAAATGTTATAGCTTGAGTTAAATTCACACTCAAATTCTACTTCTCTCTCTGCTCCTAAGGATTACTTTGCAAAGGTACTGTGAGTTTTTTACAGCCCATAAAAATCAGGTTTAATGTCAGTTTTTACTATTCTATGTTTTCAGCTCATATGAAAATGTACACAGAGGTATGCTCTACAGGACTTGTTAATTGTAGGCATGTACTTAATGTTTCATATTTGTTTTCTTAGATCTTACCTTGAATGTTCAGATCTCTCTAGACATTCAGGAACTTCTGCATTGAAGTTTGCAGGTGATTAATTTTTTTGGTTATGACCATGGTTATTTAATAATATGCATTATTCCTCTCTTGCAGCTCTGCAATCCAAAGGAACTTTTTTTGGGCTTACTTGAGCAGATTGAGCAGACCTCTGGAGAGCAAGTGTGTCAAACTGTCATGTTATTGCTTCAGCCTTTGCAGACAGGTGGGATTCAGTTTATCATGTGATTTCTGAATTAAATTATTTTCTCATTTATGTATCAATTTAGTTTAGCCTTTGCTGGAATGGTTTCAGAATACATCTGTCTTGACAAGCTTTACAGTCTATTATATTCTGCAAAATAACACAAGGCATAAGTTTAATGCTTATATTGGTCTGTTAGAAAAAGATTTTAGATGGGACTAATAGCATCAGTTGAAAAAGCAATATTCAGCTATTTTTCATAATTTACAAGAATGTAAACTGTAAATATAATGTAAATATAATTGAATGTGAATATAACTGTACTATGACAGTTATGTTTAGAGGTCTGAAGCACTCCTGCTGTTGTTGCAGAAATAGGGAATCACATGGATTTGTGAAATT